CTCTTTCCATGTTTAGCACCCCAAAATCTATAAAGTAAACTTACTTTCATGCCCATAAAAAGAAATGACCCAAAATTTGTTGAACAGTGTAATATGACGGGGGTCACAAGAAATGCATACAGAATTCTGGTGAAGAAATGTGATGGGAAAAGATAACTTAAATAACCAATAAATGTAATGTATATCTTAAGCTGGCTCTCAGATGAGCACTTGTAAAAATCTGAGGTAGATGAAACTAGCTGAAAATCATGTCCAATGAAAGCCTTTGGTATTTGCAGTACTGAGCCCTCAGGTTCAGGTACCAGAGTGTCAGTTGGTTAATAAATACATATTTCACCATGACAAATGGAATGTTATGAAGCCCAAGGATTCCTTTCTACTGTCGTTCATTAAGTATAAATTGCGGACAAAGGACTGGTGTAATTTGTAGCGTGTTTACATACCAGGATGAACTACTCCAGAAATGTTGGGTACACGTCCTCTGCCCGTGTCAAATGGCAAAGCAGGGTCAGCCTGTGTGCTGCGATATCCAATACTTCGTAAGACCAGTCCGCACTGCACGGTCTCTGTGATAGCTGTAGGAACAGCCTGTTGCTGCCCGTCCAACTGGTTCACAACTAGCTTCATGCTCCCCACTGCGTGCGGCACATCTACACAATCAACCCAAGTCAACATACTTTAGCAACAGTCTACGTAAAAAGTAAAGCCATCCCATTATGCGCCACGTAGGTGCACAGGGGAGAGGCGATAGCTCATACTCATTGTTAACCTCTGAACTAGACAGGGGCAGCGCTTTACCCCAGAAAAGGACCCCAGTACCCACGGGACAGGAAGCTGGGTGGGGCCCAGAGTCAGTCTGTATCCAAAAGTTAGAGGAAAAATCCTCTGCCCCTGTCGGGGATCTAATACCAATAGTCCAGTCCATAATCATGGCAAATCTGTGCTTTCTCTGGCTGTTAGAAGTAAAAGGAAAAATGATCTCAGGGTGGCATACTACAAACATTATTTCCTGGGGGCAGTAGCTTGTAGCTCGCTGTCTCAGCTCCTGGGGCAGTAAGTGTTTGGATCATGTAGTATATGCATTTGTTTTCCTTATACCTGCAAGCCAGTGACATAGATGGAACATTCGGTTTATTCACAGGTACCGTAATAACCAAAGATGCAACAAGTGTGGTAACCACCTGACCATAATTTTCATCGATTAGGTCATTAACATACAGAAAATTTAATGTATTAAATTACTTATAGCTCTCAACATGCACCCACAAAATGCATTGCCAACATCTGAAGTCTTCTCCAATTTTAGGGATTCAAACCATAACTAAAAAAACAAATCAAATTTGACTTGACTAGGATCTGATCGCATGACCATCAGTGTATGAGTCCAGTGCACTATCCCATGAGCCATAAATCATTGCATTATAAACATATATTACCCAAATAAGATGAGAAACAGAAGACTTTTAAGACTGGAAATATGCAAAAGTAAAGGAAGCTTAATGAGTTACGCATGGAACTCCTAGTTTCATTTATTGTGTCTGTATTTAATTCTTTTCTAATTTGCTCAATTTTAATTCGATGTACATCCTTCAGCTGCTCTTAAGAGTTCCATGTCTTTCTCTTTTAGTGTCCACCTACGTCTAAGCCCAATATTTTTGTGCCTGCATTACTTAAACCCTATAATATTTAAGTTATACGTCTCACCTCATCTTTCCTCATAATAAGGAATTTTGAAAATCAACAAGGCCCTTTTACACTTCTGTGTCTTTGTAGACTAAATTAAAAAATATTACTAATTATAGAACATTGTTTGTTACATGTTTAGTCAACTCTGACTATAAAGTGTATTATTTTATACAGCAGAATTCTTCATGTTCACATTTTCTTTCTACAGGCAACTGAAAGCAGACATTCTCCTAGCCAAATAAGTCACTGAAATCATTTACCAAATTTATTAAATACTTGGTATATTGTGTTGATGATTCTGAGACTTACATTGTGATTAAATAGCGTGTTATTCCCGTGAGTCACAGGCGAATCAGTTTCATTGCGTCTCTCGTCGCGGATTGACGTTGATAATATGGTGTACAGTATTAAGCAACGTGTGTTCTTAGTCGAAACATATGCCAAATATTCATCCTACGGAAGATGCCGCCGTAAATATCGCAGACATTTTCCCGGTGAAAGTGTTCCTAGCAGGCCCACGATAGAGAGATTAATAAAAAAATTTTGTAGTACGGGATCAGTTTTGGATAAAAAGAAGAACAGGAAACCACAATTCGTCAAGTATTTTGAAACATGTTAACGAGATGTGAAGCTTGCCTGCAAGCACAAGGAAGTCACTTTGAACATCTTTTGTGATTTAAGGTAAGAAAATTAATGTAATAACATGTGTTAGTGACGAGAAATATTCGTAGTTCGCTGTTACTAGCAGCACTGAAACTGATTCGCCTGTGACTCACGGGAATAACACGCTATCTCTATCCCACACCAACAGTGCACTCGGCCGAGCACGCAATGCAAGCAAGGCCGTTACAGCATAAATTGTAGACCCGGTAGCACCATGTAGCGTGGTACAAGTTTACCAACATTACAGAGGTCCTTGATGCCTTCATCATCACTCATCACCCTGATGAAGAAGACAACAAGTAACTCTAAAACATCAATAAACTTCTACCAGACTACAAAGCACATGAACCCAGAAGACTCGCATCTTCATGTTGAGATCCTTTGAGAAGTTCATATGCAGTCATCAACTCTTTGTACAATTATAAATGGCTGTGAAAACACTGATAAATCAAAGAAGTCAGATTTCGCTGTAGCCAGCTTGCCAGTACTACGTAACCCAAAAGGGTACGTCACTACAGATAGCCACATGAGGTTATTCAAACAATATTACCTGGTGAGGGGTAGAAGCTCAGAGGTGAACGAAAGAATACCAAGTGGAAATGTCTTTTGCTTTCATCGAGGTCTCCTGACGGGGATGAGTCAGCAGCTTTGCACAGCAGTTCTGTGAGGCGGCGTCTCGGTCGCTCCAGACCTGTGCCAACACGACACGACTTGTTTCAGGAGAAAATTAATATGTCATGACAACTCTTCTGCTAAACAAAGGTCTATGTGTGTTCCATGTCCTCAGTCAACATCTTTTATGATTGGTTAGCTTCTAATCTACTCAACGCTACTCTCTATTTATATCCTGCAACATCTCCCTGATGATGGAGGAAGCAAGGACTTCTGAAAACATTGGTAAACTCCATCCAGACTACAACCCAGAAGACAGGTAACTTCAGTTTCAACTGCACTACCACATTACATGAAAATCTAAGATGGTACATATTCACATCATTTCAGTAAAAACTGTGGGGTTGAAAAATGTATGAGATTGGAGTTGCGGCCATTAATATGACAAACTATCACATTATAATGTAAAGCTCCGATGACATAGGATTCCTCTACCACGGCACAACGTGGGTTAAGTCCACGGTTACGCACTCACCTGGCACTAGAGGACGGACAGCTTCGAAATCCTGCAGCTTACACACTGTGATACAGTCTGGAAGAGCCAGCATCTCACGTAGCTCTTTAATGGTGAATGCCACCTGCAACGGACCTCGCCGGCCAATCAGCCTCACACGACGAACTCTGCTACGTGACAGTGCCTCCAGAGCATGTTCTGTGATGTCGGTGTTCTGCAAAAGTCATCAAATGTTTAAAACAATGTAACTGCTTCCATTTTTCAATGGTGTAACCTGTTCCTCTTAGGTTCTGCAGTTCCATGTTTCTACAACTATTAATTTCATAATAAGTCCTCAAAATTATTTTGAACAAAGGAATGTTAAAAAGTAAACTCCTAATTTAACCCATCTTACTCAGTTCATAAGAAGAATAAGTCTTGTAGCATCATGTCCATGTGCATGTGTTTATTTAATGATGTTTGAAGCTGACAGACTGACTGATTTTCATGAAATTCAGGATGAAATACTAAATGACACTGAAAGTACTTCAGGGACGGTAAACAAAGTTACAATGGTTATGGGGCTGGTGTATGTTGTAAAATCAACAAAGAATTGTTAATACAAAATACATTTTTATAAATCATTAGTGCTGCTGACACCTCTATAGAGAAAAACACGTTTTAAGGAAAGTAGTATTCACGAGTTCTTCCCACACGATGGTTATTTGTATCAGAACTTTAAACAAAATGAGCTACAAATAAAACTGATCTTTGATCTTAACCTATATTTCTGAAGTGGTAGTTCCTTTACTGCAAATGTAACAGTTATACAGCCATAATTTGGCCTCTTACAATAAGGTAATAGCATTTTTATTATGATGCAAACATAATCACACCCTTTCTGTTATCAACTCCATTTGAAGATAAGGTGTAGCACATGAACATGAGTTTTATATGGGAACTGTGGAGTGCTATTCTAAGATGGGGCTTAGAAATGATGAACCCTAAAGTAAAGGGTATACACAAAAGAATGGTGCGGTTTCAAAAGTTAATAAAAAAATTATTTCTCACCTTACATGGGCACAACATACACCGTCAGCAGCGGCAACTGTCCAAGTTTCTCATACGCTACCAGCAGTTCGCTTCTCATGCTTACTGCGTGGCCAGTTTCAAAGATGGCGTTGCAGCAGGAGAAGGCTTTCTGTGTGCTCCATTTTGAGGTGTCCAGATCTGTGATTACAGTGCAGCGTGAGTTTCGCGCATGGTTTAAAAAAGACGCACCACACAAGAATAACATAAGCAGGTGGTACCGACAGTTTGTAGAAACTGGATGCTTGTGTAAAGGCAAGACCTTGTGTGTCTGATGACAACATTGAAAGAGTGCGTGAGGCGTTTCAGCGAAGTCCCCGCAAGTCAGTGGCTAGAGGAAGCAGGGAATTGGGCATGCCAAAAATGACGATGTGGAAGCGGCTATGTTTTAAACCGTACAAGATGCGATTGGTGCAGGCCCGTAAACCATCAGACAAAGTGAAAAGCGAGGCTTTTGTAAGGAGATGCAGTTAAAAAATGGAGGAAGATGGGTTCGTAGAAAGACTGATCTTCTCCGATGAAGCCACATTCCACATCAGTGGCAAGGTGAACAGACACAATGTCCGTATCTGGGGAACCGAGCAACCACATGCACAGATAGAGCACCAGCGTGACTCTCAAAAAGTCAACATTTTCTGTGCGGTGTCCCGGGAGAAAGTGCACGGCCCATTTTTCTTCGCTGAAGCAATTGTGACTGGCGACTCATTTTTGGACAAGTTGGAAAGCTGGTTGTTACCCCAACTGAATACCAATCATGACGATTACATTCTACAACTGGATGGAGCTCCCCTCCATTTTCACAGGAATGTACGAGTGCTTCTCAATCGTGTTTTTCCACAGCGCTGGATTAGACGTTCTGCTGCAAATAGAGACACCCCGTTCGCCAGATCTTACACCGTGTGATTTCTTTCTTTGGGGCTTCGTTAAAGACAGCGTTTATGTACCACCATTGCCCACGTCCATCCATGAACTTCGTGATCGGATAACGCATGCACTGCAGGCCATTACAGCGGACATGCTACACCGGGTCTGGGATGAGTTTGATTACCGTGTGGATGTGTGTCGTGTGACCCAGGGTGCACACATTGAAGGATTGTAATTAACACATGAGAAACTTGGACAGTTGCCGCCGCTGACGGTGTATGTTGTGCCCGTGTAAGGTGAGAAATAATTTTTTTATTAACTTTTGAAACCGCACCATTCTTTGGTGTATACCCTGTATAAGCAAGTCCAACCTTAAGTCTGTCGATGGGTGTAAGCAGAATGCGGGCAACATCCAAAGCAACATTTCCCTGGCCCAATACTGCAACCTCCTCCACATTCAGGTCAACAGGAAGGTCCGTGTCACGTGGCAATCCATTGTACCAGCCCACAAACCTGCGGGCCGAGAGCACGTTACTAAGCTTCTCACCGTTTACCCCCAGTTCTTGATCCTCGTCTGCACCGTATGCCTGCCAACAATGTGACAGTCACTTCTATATGCATTCATATCAGACATGACTTTTTAAAAGAGTTACAGATATAAGACTCACTCCATGACCCGTCTCCCTCACTTTTAGGTCCAAATGTCCTCCTCAATATTCTGTTCTCAAAGATCCTCAATCTATGTACCTCCCTCAAGGTGAGAGACGAAGTTTCGAACCCACACAGCACAACTGGCAGAATTACACACTTGTATATTTTAATCTTTAGTTTTTGTTATAGGCACAAGAGGATAAAAAGACTGCAGTTAAGCCTAAAATTTACTGACTTACTTGCTTCAAAACAATGAGAAAGTTTCTTCTCTAACAACAAAAATCTTCAGTAATGGATCAAATATAATATATATTCAAGGAATTGCAGCGCAATGGTTCAGATCCTATTTAACAGATAGAAAACAAAAGGTCGAAGCAAAAGCTCCTAAAAAAACTGAATTTTTTCTCAAACTGAGAAAGAATAAAACATGAATACATATATTTATTTTTCCAGTCTATACACAAAACTTGTTTTAAAATAATGTTGTTAAAATTATTTATAACATTTACAATATAAATTGCATTATGTTATATTTTATGGCGC